AAAAACCCCCCAACAACAACAACAACAACCAACAACACCAACAACCAAACAACAAATTTTCACATTCCTTAATATGCATGTTGTTGCCTGCCTTTTAAAGTTTCAGATAAGGATAAAAAACAGAATTGAAAAAATGTTCCAAAATGACGATTAGCTTCTTTTTTTTAAAAAGTACCCCATAAACAGCAGCACGTCTTTTGGCGCTGTCGAACGTTCTCAGTTAACTCACTACAGCCCAACTATAGTTACATAAAAGCTTGCAATGATCATTTGGACGAACAAAAGCACTGTGGCATGTGGTTGGAGGGTGCCACTGGTGGGTCCTACTTCTCTTATTTCCTTCTGTTGTTTCTGTCTATCATTCTTGCTTCTTCCATGCACTATGGCCGTTATTGTGTCGATGCCCTTCTCTTTACTCAAAATCAAACTCAGAAGCATGACAGATCTCTACCTCCGAATTGCAAAGTTCTATCTGAAATGTTTAGTTGCTTTGAGTTACTAAGACCATGAGGTCAGAAACCACACGTTCTGTGTGCTCTATGAAAATGGTAAGATTATAAGGAGTCGTTATCAAGATATCCAAAGAAATGCATTTTAAAAAAGCTTGACATGGTGTGAAACGTAAAACCTCTATCGTCAAATTTCTCAAAAGAGAAGATAGAACTTTGTAATTCTGAGAAGATAGAACTTTGTAATTCTGAGGTAACGAGATGTCCAGACTACCATCTTCACGCTGCCTTGTGTGACATGTTCAGTGACCCCTGGTTCCGGTTGCATGCTCTGTTTCAGTTTGACCTGATCTGTGACAAGAAAATGTCTCGCTCCCACGCCCGGATGATCCTCATGGGTGGCCTGCTGCTGGGGGCCATCGGAATCGGGGTCATCGCCGACATGTGAGTCAAAGGTCAAAGAGGGTCATGACTGATATCTGGGTCAAGGTCAAAACGTCATAAAAATAGCGGATCCAAGTTGATATGTGGGTTAAAGGCCGAGCCGATCAAGAAAGGGATCATGGTTGGTTATATTATTATAATATGTATATTATTACGATATAATATATAGGTCAAGGGTCATGATAACGCCTCTACCCCCCCCCCCAACCCCAAACCCTCTGTAGATAACATGAGAAGTCATGGCTAACGTGTGATCCAAAGTCAATTAGACTAAGAGAATATGATCGAGAATGGTAATTACAAGGGTTAAGGTCATCTCGGCCAAACGTGTCATGGCTGACCTATGAGTCCAAGAATACGGGATTAATCACTGATGAGGCAGTTCACATAGGAAGGAAGGAAGAAAAAAAGAAACAATGTATGAAAGAAAGAAACAAAAGGAAAGAAAAGAAGAAAGAAAGAAAGAAAGAGAGACCGGAAAAAAAGAAGGAGCAAACAAACAAACAAAGACAGAAAAAAAGAAAGAGACAGGAAAAAAGAAAAAAAAAGAAAAATTAAGAGGGGGGGGGGGGGGGAAGAAAAAGAGAGATAAAGAAAGAAAACATTGTATTCTTTCAATTGCTGTTATTGTTTTAGGTTTGCTTGTTGGTTGGTTTGGGGTTGTTGTTGTTGTTTGTTTTTTTTACTTTTGTTTTTAATTTTTTTTAAACCTCTCTTGTGTGTCCTCAGAATCGGCCGTAAGAAAGCCCTGATGGCTATGGTGGCGCTGCATGCCGGGGCGTCTATCGCTGTGGCTTACGTGGAGTCCTTTGTGCTCTACGTCATCTTCAGGTTCCTCACTGGCATCTCCATCAGCGGCCTCTTCTTGGCCATCTTTGTGCTGGGTAAATGGCGTCGTGTGTTTCGTTTATGTTCATTTGCTGTTGTAAACTATTATTGTTATTCGCTGTCGCTAGTTGCTGGTTTTATTGTTGTTGTTGTTGTTGTTGTTTGCTGTTGCAGTTGTTGTTGCTGGTGCTGTTGTTGTTGTTGTTTTAGTTGTTGTTGTTTTAGTTGTTGTTGTTTTAGTTGTTGTTGTTCTTGTTGTTGTTGTTGCTGCTGTTGTTGTTGTTGTTGTTGTTGTTGTTGTTGTTGTTGTTGTTGTTGTTGTTGTTGTTGTTGTTTTGCCGATTTTGATGTTGTTGTAATTGTGGGTTTTTTTTTGTTTTTTTCTTCTGTTTGTTTTTTTGGTTGTTTTTTTCGTTTTTTGTTCGCATGTCTTTCGAAACAGCGTTTTATGGTTGCTTTGAAAGAGTTGATGAATGGCCGAGTAATAGAAGTAGGCTATATAGGCGCAAAAGTAGTGTACATTAAAGTTCCCTTACGGCGCGTACATGACCTTATGCAGTTGCAAGCGCCGTAAACCTTACCAAAACTAAGAACTAAAAAAGGTCAACTAGTTCGATCAAGGTGGTCGGGTGCAGGAAGGGGGAAGACCAATGTTTTGCTCAGAGACATACAGTGTTCTAGAAATAGAAGAGAATGTCGTTGTCATTCGATATTTCAGCCTTTTCCATTATATCTGCTTTTTCTCTTGCTTCTCAACCATTAAATCAAACACCCTAGATGTCGGTGGTTGGCGTATGCTCTAATGTGATTTGCTCCTTCTTTCCTGTTAAACTTTTGTTTGCCTAATCTCTCCTCCTTCTTTTCTTTGCATGCTACTCCTTAGTAACGCCTCTAATATTTGGCACTTAAACGACCTACTTGTGTTGCAAGTGCTGTAAAACTCTTGCTGAAGCTAAACCCTGCAGATTTGATGAGTGCTAAATTTTTTAACACATTCAAATTAGATGGCTCTATTTTGACACTATCGGCTAGGTCCTAATTGTGTCTCACTTGTCTTAAAACTCTTACATAAAACATAACACAAAGACACTATAATTTTGACAGGTATGGAACTTGTAGGCCCCAGCAAGCGAATGTTTGTCGGTATTGTGGTCGAAGTGTTCTGGGCTCTGGGCGTAATGATACTCGGCGCCATTGCCTACTTCGTCAGGGACTGGAACTACTTACAGATGGCGGTCTCTTTCCCGATTCTGCTCTTCTTTTCTTACTGGTGGTAAGTGCTTTTATCGTTTATATTTCAAGAAGCCGGAAAGAGAAAAGAGAGGAAGGTGGTATCCATCCTTTTCGGAGACATGTCTTTCAATACTATCCGCGCTTGTCATACAAGCAAGATGAGGATATTCATTGACGCTTATATGATAACCTAACAGTGTTGAAAATGGCGTTTATATCTATGCAATGATCAATACAATGACTAACAGTGACACATCAGTAGGGCCTAACAATACAATGTGGCATCTATAGAAAGTCTACAAATTTGACCCTAGTGTGGATTTTTGGCAAATGCCTCCATTTGTGGATTGCAAGAAAAGTAACTCAGTTTGTCTATATGGCTCACAAATATCCTCACCACAGGAATAAATATAGGGGAATGTATTCATTGATGTATTTATTTATCCCCACCCCCTCAATCCCCATCCCCCAAAAGGTTTATCCCAGAGTCCCCTCGCTGGCTGCTGGCCCGGGGTCGTGACGAGGAGGCTGAGGCCATCATCCGACACGCCGCAAAAGTCAACGGCGTGAAAATGCCGGACAAGATCTTCGACGGCAAGACGTTTGACGAGGCCTACACCAGGGAGAAGATGTCACGTGTGTTCACCTCACCTCGCTTCATGTTCCGGCTGGTCGTGCTCTGCTACAACTGGTCAGTCCACTGTCTTTGTTATACTGTGGTCAGTTTGTTCCGTAAATACGTCATATTTTCTTAGTTGTGTTGTGTTGTAAATAGTTCCGGAATACATCATATCTTAGTTGTGTTGTGTTGTAAATAGTTCCGGAATACATCATATCTTAGTTGTGTTGTGTTGTAAATAGTTCCGGAATACATCATATCTTAGTTGTGTTGTGTTATAAATAGTTCTGTACATACGTCAGCCTTTCTGTTGCAAATAGTTATGTAAATATGGCATTCTTTGTGTTGTAAAAAACTCTGTAAATATACGCCATTCTTTGTGCAATCAAATTTTGTAAATACGTTATGCTTGCACTAAATATTTTCCTAAATGTGCCATTCTTTCTCTTGTAAATGATTTTGTGAACGCGTCATATGATGTGTTGAAATTATTCACCCAAATACGTCATTCTTTGTGTTTTCAGTAGTTCTGAAAAAAAATCGTAGTTTTTATATTTTCAATAGTTCTGTGTAAAAAATGTCATTTTTGTGTGTTTTGAATAGTTTTTCTGTAACTGTAATACATCATTCTTTGTGTTTTAATGCCCAATTCCCTCCCATTCCCCCCTGCCAATTAAAAAAACAACTATTTTTTAAAAACTATTTAAAAAATAGACCTTAAAAAAGAATAAATCTCATCTCATGCAGGCTGTCGTCTGCCATGGTGTTTTACGGCCTTGGCCTCAATGCCGGCAACCTAGCCGGTGACCTCTACGTGAACTTTGAACTGATGGGCGTTGTCGAGCTCATCGCCTACGGTGCATGCGTTCTGCTGCTCAACCGGATTGGTCGGAAACCTTTACACATTGCCTGCATGATCCTAGGGGGCGGGGCTTGTCTCAGCACAATCTTCACTGTCCTCTACGCTGATGAATGTAAGTACAATAGACTTCTGGTAACTCTCTACTGCCTTCTGGTTCATATTTGAACTTTAATGTCCGCATTTTGATATATAGATCTTACTTTTGTGATTGCTGAGAATTTTGTTTGTTTGTTAATTTTGAGGGAGGGGGGAAAAGGAGGGGACACGAGGATATTGTTAAATCACCATCCTCATCAGTGCCAAATCTGCGACAGACATCGGCGATCATGGTTCTCCATTCATTCCTTTGCCTGGATGTTCTTAAAAAAGCTTCGTTTCCCTGATCTTTCCCCTTTACATATTTGTTTAGATTCCCAAAGTAGGTTGCTCTGGGACGTCCCGTGCTTCGTTTGTCTTCCATTTTGTCTGTGAGAGCTAAATCATTTAATTGAATTCCGATGTTTCATTTAGATTGCGTTTAATAACAACAGCGTAGAGGGTCATAATATTCGTATCAATACTCTTCTCTTGTTATTATCCCTCTCTCTCTCTCTCTCTCCCTCCCTCTCTCTCTCTCTCTCTCTCTCTCTCTCTCTCTCTCTCTCTCTCTCTCTCTATCTATCTATCTATCTATCTATCTATCTATCTATCTATCTATCTATCTATCAGTCTATTTATCTATCTATCTATCTATCCGTCTGTTTGTCTGTCTCCATCGCTTCCCCTTCCCCTCCTCCCTTCTGATCCTTTCTTACCCCACTTTAACAATATACCAACTTTTTAAAGATAAACCTATATTATACTCCAACAGGATATCTGGTACACACCGAAGATATGAGTTCGATTCCCAAACTGGGTCGTTTTTTTAAATGAATACATCTGTCTGTCTGCTGGGATAGTGTACGCCAATCGGCTATGGTTGGCCCTAACAGGCAAGGACGTAGCAACCCACATCGCAAACGATCTTAATATTATGTCAATGGGGACGTATCACATATGCAATAAACCAACACACCCGTCTGTTTCCGATCAGCTCTTCAATGGCTTAACATCGTCCTTGCCCTGCTGGGCAAGTGTGGGGCGTCTGCGGCCTTCGCCATCATCTACGTTTACTCCGCGGAGCTGTTCCCCACGCCCCTCCGGAACTCGCTGATGGGCGTCACCTGTCTCTTCGCCAGGATGGGCGGAATGATTTCCCCTTACATTGCAGACTTGGTAGGTTTGCACAAACCTTTTTTTTCCTTTTTAAAAATGTGTTTCTTTTGGTTATTAATTACTTTTTTCGTTAACCGGTTCTACTTTTTAAATAATTATAAGCTGTTGTGATGTGCTGTAGTTTAATAATGTTTTTGCTTCGTTTGTTTATTGGTTGTTGTTTTTTAAAGTCGAAAGATTAAAGTCAAAAGAAATCTTAAGACTGCAAAAACGTAATTTTGGGGATTAGGAGGATTACTGATTCAATCATTATGATAAACAAATTCAATTGATAAGTCAGTCAACCATAAAATATGACTAACATGTCATTCATCCACCCAATCTAACGTAGAATGAACATATTAATCATCCACCAGTCAATCAGTTTGACATTCATTTAACCAGCCAACCGATCAATCAATCACAATATGATTTACACGTCAGACAATCTGTCAGTCAATCATACTGACCAACCACCTTCCTCCTCTCAGAACACAATGGTCGGTGGTCGGTTTGGCCAATCCTTGTCTCTCATAGTGTCCGGCAGTCATTTTCACAATCAATCAATCAATCAATCAATCAATCAATCAATCAATCAATCAATCAATCAATCAATCAATCAATCAATCAATCAATCAATCAATCAATCAATAATTGATTATTGATTAATTATTAATCAATCAAACAAACTGACCAACCAATCAATCATTCAAACTGACTGACCAACCACCTCCCTGTCCCCCCCAGAACACAGTGGACAGTGGTCAGTTCGGCCGGGCCTTACCTCTCATCGTGTCAATCAATCAATCAATCAATCAATCAATCAATCAATCAATCAAACTGACCAACAACCTACCTGTCTCCCCCCCCGAACAGAGTGGTCAGTGGTCAGTTCGGCCAGGCCCTGCCCCTCATTTTTGTCAATCAATCAACCAATCAATCAATCAATCAATTAACTAACAAACCAACCAATCCTTCAATCAACCAACCAATCAAACTGACCAAACACCTCCCTGCCCCCCCCCCTCCAGAACTCAGTGGTCAGTGGTCAGTTGAGCCAGGCCCAGCCCCTCATCGTGTCCGTCAATTAATCAATCAATCAATCAGTCAATCAATCAATCAATCAATCAAACTGACCAACCACCTACCTGTCTCCCCCCAGAACACAGTGGTCAGTGGTCAGTTTGGCCAGGCCTTACCTCTCATCGTGTTCGGCGCCTCCACTGTGGCCGGGGGTCTGATGTGTTTCATGCTGCCAGAGACATTACATAAACATCTGCCCGAAACACTGGAAGATGCTACCAACTTTGGCAGGTTAGTTTGTGTGTGCGTGTATATGTATGTGTGTGTATGTGTGTGTGTATGTGTGTGTGTTTGTGTGTGTGTGTGTGTGTGTGTGTGTGT